TTGTTTCTGGCCATTGAATGATGCATTAAAAGCCACACCCCATCAACTTTAGGACAAAGACTTTCACTTATTTAATTTAAATTTAATTTCAATATAATTAGATGAGAAATAGAAATATGATTACTCTCATATATTTAATAACTTCCTCCTCCATTCACATTTAAAATTACAGTTAGGTGGTACTTTGTGAAATAGTCTGGGACCACACTGAAAGTTAGGATTATAATGACACCACTTGGAAATGAAAGGCCTATACATCATGAAACTTCAGAAGTTTAGGTGCTGTGAAAATATTATACCATAGCTGTCATTTTCTGAAGTCTGAACCTACAGATAGTTCTCAACTTATAACCACAACTGGGACCAGAATTTCCTTCACTAAGCACTGAGGTTATTATCTAGTCACAATTCATTTTATGAACTTTTTTGCAAATCACCATAGTTTGTTAAGCAAATACCTGAATTCGTCATTCCCCATTGATTTTGCTTGTTGCAACCCCCTGCACAAATAGCAATCACAAGATCCTGGGTTGCTGCAACTGTCATAAATACATGACAATTGCCAAGGCCCACATTTTGATCATATGACTATGGGGAATGCTACAAAAGTTGTAAGTTTGAAAACTGGTCATAAACTATGAATAGTGGTAAGTTGAGGACTACTTGTAGCCTCCTTTCTCTCAATATTACAGCAAGACTCAAAGTAATGTTCAAAATTAATTATAGGAATAGGAGCAGTCCAGAATTTGGATTTGAGATATGGATTGAATCAGTTATTATTAGGATGGTGAAGTTTTCACTGCCTTTCAAGTAACCCAAAGAAAACGATAAACCTAGATTATATATCTTTTGTGCAAATATCCTTGTGATCAGCTGTATTTATATTATCTTGCCAATTATATGAACTTGCTATGGAATATAACATCCTGAAAAGATCACTAATAGTCGATTCATGGTGTCTTTAGATATTTCTGGATTTAAAGTAACTGGATAGTGTCTAGAATTTCTTATCACTATTCAGTTCCTATGAAAGAGAGATAAGTATTCATTTAGCTTTTCTGGTGGTGTGTCCTTTAAGCCTTCTGGGACAATTATGGCACAATTCGGTTCCCTTTCAACAGTCTTTTTGTAAGTCACTGTCATTCACAGGGGTGAATGCTTGGGAAACAGCCTCATGTTAAACAGCCTCTGGACAGCTGCATTATAATTACTGCCACTTCCAACAAGCATTCCTATGAATTCCCTGATGGCCAGCTTTAAAGGCAGAATGCATCTGGAATAATATGCTTAAGTGTCTGAAATTTTAAAAATGGCCATCTATTGATATATTTCGAGAGGCTCCAAATTACAGTGCATAACAAATCATGCAGTAAAATGCCACCACAGCACACTTTTAGAAAGAAAGCTATTAGCTCTTAATGCTTTGTGCTAAATCAATAGTCAATATTGTCAATGACCCTAACATATATTTCTAGGCCGTTTTCTCCTTAAGGCATCTTCAGATAGAAGGAAGTGTAATCCATTCTCTCGTCTTTAGCAGAATAGGCCCTGCCATAATTACTTATTAATGGTGGCTGGCTTTCAGAGTCACTCTTGAAACAATTGCACCAACACAAACCTCCATTTATTATTTGCTTATTGGGAAATCTTTATGGTACCTCTAAATCCCACAATCCATATTTCTAAATTATCCTATGAAATGAAAGTTTGCAATTTGAGATCTAGACTTACACTTGACTCCTCAAAGATTCCACATAGTCCTAAAAAATCTTTCTAAAAGTTGCCACTGAATTGTAATGTTTAATGAGATAGAAGGCAAGAGAGATTATTAAATGCAGAACTCTTAATATGAAATGCATTTGATTAATTTAATTTTCATTGCAGCTCAAAAAATTAGCTTTTGTCTAGCCTTCCTTTCTTTGGACCATCTTTTTTTTACTTATAGATTTTCCAAAGCATTATGGAAAGAACAAGTGCATTCCTCATCCTGAAAAAATAGTAAGTTAGGTCAGAGAATGATTTCACAAAAGTTAGCATTTTTCACCATTCCAAGTATTTTTCAAATCTACTGAGGTTAAGCTTAAGTCCTTATTACTATATGGAAATATCCATATAGACATTAATTAATGTTATTCAGACTGCAGATTATGGGACTTACTTAAGACAGACCATCGATGGGAGAAGTGAGAAATAAACCAGAAGTTTCCCAGGGAATAGTTTTGTGTTTTAGCTGTTTCATTACATTGTCCCTCAACCAAAAATGTAGTATGCTAAGAATCAATGAATATTTATGCCTGGAAACTTCCAGACAAATAATACTGAAATAAATGAGAAATATGCAATAACATGTTTGAAGTAAGAAGCTTGGCATAAAATTAAAATGTAGAAATATTTATTTTCTAACTCTTTAAATAATCTCAACACGTATGTGTTTCAAATGCTCAAATTCTAGCTAACCAGGGTATGTTTACCTCATAAACCTGAATGATGTTTCATAAAAGTATTTTAAATATCTATTATTTATTATATCTCTTAATGATATCTATATGTTTATTATCAATCATAGAGTCATATCATTATCTTGGGTCTTCTTTAATACTCTAATGATATTTTGACAGTTTAGCAGTTGCATTTCATTCTGAACTTTATCCTTATACTATGTTGATATTCTTAAACAGTGAGATATACAACATTGTTTTAGTCCCCATAGTGTTATTTTAAAAGCCTACAATCCTTCTATAATGAGTCATCATGCAACAAAACCACAAAATAGAAGTGTCAACTCCCATACACACCCACCTCCATCACTTTCATTGTTATGATTCACAGTCTTTTGGAACAAAAATGCATATACCAGTTGGATTATCACAGCAGAATTCTTTGTATATATAAAATAAGGTGTTCAGTTTGACACCTTTAACAAATATATTGCTACAATCTAAGATGCCTGCAAAGTCATGCAAAGTCCCTACCAATTGAGATGGCACAATCCAAAACAATGCAATTTTTTTCTATGCTCTCTCTTCAGCATTCTACACATTGCATTGCTAAATAATCCATATAGAGAGCCGTATGATACTGCCATCTATTAAAATGTTTATTATTTGAAAAAGGGTACTCTAAAACACCTTTAACTTACAGATGTGTGGATCACAATTTTCTAAACCCTGCCCATCCTGGTCACAGGATATATATGGCTAGGATAGTTTAGCTATATACTACCAAAACTCTTGTGTCCATTTGTCTGTTTGTAACCTTCAATTGGGCAAAAAGGTGCATCACAGGGCAATAATTTTTGAACTAAGGTACTCAAATGGGCCTACACAATATGTCCAAAATCTGGGAACCATTACTTTCATGAGATTAAAATTTTAAAAAATTGTGGTTCCACATCATAAACCATTAGGGTTGGCTGATTAGGGTTATCATGAGAGAAATAAGAGGAAAATATTCATTTTAAAAATAAGATCACAATAATATCACAATTAATAGAATTTTGGGATTATGGACAATAATAACACTAATAATATTTTAAAAATATTCCTATCTCATACTTTCAACATAGTGAATATATGTACTTCAAAAAGGGTATCAGCACTTGCTTATTGGAATCTATTTGCTTGTTTTTTCTACTCACATGCAGTTTAGAAAAGAAGGTGGTATCCTAATGCTTCACAGGCTTATTCCGGTTCTTCATAAAAGCAATACTGATTGTCAGGTTTGCCCTTATTCTCCCAGCCCTCTTGCTGTGCTCTGGAGCCAATTTGCCAGCAGTTATACTTCAACAGCAGAAAAGGTCATAAACATTTGCAAATATAACTTACAACAAATGCTATGTAGACTTTTTGCACACTATAAACCTAAATTCTGTTGCCTGATGCTCAGATGGTAGCCTGATCTGCTGACACTGTCTATCTTGCTGCTTTAGGTTGCATTGTCTGACTGATACACTCTCTTGTCTGAGGCACTACCATCAGTTACTGTCAACAAGAGATGGCTTTTTGACTTAAGCATCAGACAAACAGTCTTTAGGGTTTGTTTGTTTTAATCTTACCTTATACTTTGCTATGGTTTACTGGAATTTAAGATTAAAAAAATAGAAGCTGTTGCCCTTAATTTTATATAACTCTCCTTTATGGTCATAAACTATTTTTTTTTCAACAATGTCTTGTTTTCAATACTCAGTTTCTCCCTTTCTTCACTTTATGTTTCTTTCAAATTGCATTGGGGGAGACAGCTGTATTTATTCTCTGAGGTGCTGTGTAGATTGGAAGTACTTTATAAATGATACATAAAAAATGAAATTTTCCTGATTCACTCATATAGAGAATTCTGGGATCTGATTCATTAGTTATAATAAGTTGCCCCAAAAGTAGATGACATCAGAGAAGAAAAAATTCTTATTTATGCAAGGGTGTGTGTGTGTGTGTGTGTGTGTGTCTGCGTGTGTGTGATGAAAGCAGAGAAGCAGATACATCCTGAAAAGTTGCGACCCTCTATTTATTTCAGTAGCATCCAGAACATTCTGAAAGTATTGAATTCCAATGCTATCCTTATATTGGATATGTGATGAAAGGTTATGAATTAGGTTTATCACAAGACTATATGCATGTAAACTTTATGAAAACATTTAACTGAACATGTGAAGGGTCTGACCTAGTAGTAATTAGGTAGTATTTCTGTAATTTCTATAAACTTTCTTCCTGGCAAAAGAGTCCTAAGTCTAGTACGGTACTTATTTCTTACAATTTACTTTAAATTTATTTTTTAAATAAATTTTAGTCAAATGTGATTTTTTGGGGAGTGGTAGGAGAATCATATGTTTCTCATTGGCATAGCTTTCAGATGTCTCTCCTTCCTAATTTCAAAAAGATCTGGGGTTATAGCCCTTGTGATATCTTCCCTTCAGATTTAATTCAACTATAGGAACCCAAAAAAATCTGTAGACAACCAAAGAGATTATTACACAGTGAAAAACAGGACACACGCATTCAACACACCAGAGCCATCTTGTTATTAAGATAAGTACAGGGACTTTCCATTCCTTCCTTAAGAATTTCGATGATTTTTTTTCTTCTCCTCTGGAAAAGAAATGAAAGGAATTCCCCCATCAAATTTATGTGCAGAATAAATTTAAGCACTAATGGATTGCTATTGTGTGTAATCAATCTATTTTCACTCTATATGGCTTTTGCATATGTTGCCTAATAAATCCATTCTATTCATCTTTTATATTTTAAGAGGAAAAATATACATCAGAAAAATGATGTCTACATTTTTTCTCAAAATATGTATTCTAAACATTCCAATTTTCATTTATTCCTTACTCTGTATCATTATATATGAATGTATTTTGATAGGCCTTTGAGACATAAAATACAGTGAATTATTCAAACTGTACAAAAGCCATTGCAAGCACATTTCCTTGAGAGGTATGGATTTAATTAATATAAATCACTAAAACTAAATTTCCCCAGCATAACCTCAACATGATGGACAAAAAGATCTATTACACCCTGCACAAAATGCCCATTTTAAAACTTTTTTTGCATAGAAATGATAATCTTATGGAAACTTTGCTAATTTCCTAATTTTCTTGAGGCATGATATTGTGGCCTCAATGTAAGAGCAATCATACCTTTTTTTCTGCTAAATAAACACTGAAAAGTAACTCTAAAAATTATCTTTCATAAATAGGTGGAATGCCTCATAAACTTTGCTTAAAGTCCTATCAGACTTTTTATCCTTTCCCCTACTTTTTTAAACAGAGAAGTGAAAATCTTACAATGCCGTTATATCAAACCATCTGGCAATATTCCAAATTGTATATGTGGTTACTATTTTTTTCTAGAAGCTACTTTTCTTTCTTATAGAAGCATCAAACTTACAGCCAAATAAGTCTGGCTGGTTTGGTGGATTGTGGGATATTTATGCCACGTTGGGAAGGAAGCAAACCATAAACATTCCACCTTCAGTTTGAGTTCTACAATTTCAACCACTTTTGAATATAGAGCATTGCTAACCAATCTGTCTAGCAAATATGGCTGCAGCAGCTATTGATTATAGAATTCGGACTTTTAAAATTATTCCCTCATTTATCATAATTAGATTTCTTTTTCTTTTGCATGAGATTTGAAGTCTATATGTGATTGTGCACATGCACTTGTATCCAATTGTCTCCATTTGTTCTCAAAATGAATGTAGTTATGTGGTCTTCTATTGAACAAACAGAATTAATCAATCCTGTTTGCCTTTAAAATCCAGGTTGTCTGTTCAGCTTAAAGCAGGTTGCAGACATGTCACAATCTATAGTGCCATCTAGTTTCCAATTTAAATGTTTCCCCACCCCCCACATCTTTCCTTATTCAGGTAAAGGATTTGATTTGTTTTCACCCAAATCACAGGAACGTGGGGAAGGAATATTTCCGTGCTACAAAGGCATACCGTTTTATTGTTGTCTTCTTCTTGTGCCTTTCTAAACTCCTGCTCTAAGCTGCAGTCTATCTCACTGAAGAGTCCCACTTCCTCACAGTTTTTTAAAAACCGGGTTGGTGTTGGAGTTTGGTCTGAGGAGAAATATCAAAAGGAGTAGGTATTATGTAGTGAATAACAAGAAATTGTGCAACATCATCTATTATAGCATGTTAAAATACAAGACAATACCAGTGTAACACAGACAAAGTCAGGTTATTGAGCTCTTATTAGTTATTTGATGGAGTTTCCATACAATTTATCAAAAATATAGCTGTTTGAAAGTATAAAAGAAACATAGCTTTTAAATAATGCATGCAAACTTGCACATTTGTAAAGTTTAATATTCAGGGAATAATAAACTTGTCCCCAAACAGTAGGGTTCCCCAGATTTTCAAAATAGCACAATGAGTACCAAAACAACTTAATGGGGGGAAAAAGATAGCTACAAATCTCTGCATCATGTTTGTTTTTTACTTTAATTAGAAAGTATAGCTGTCTACTCAGACTCTTATTTTGTAAAACATATACACACCCACACACGTCTCCCCTCCTTAGATATATTTTCTAAAATGAGTAGAAAAATATATAGAAATGAATCAAACAGGACATGAAGGGAAACGCTATACCATTCATAAACTGACATAACTGATATGGGTATCTGAGGAATAAGAGTGGTAAAAAATTTAGATCATATCTGCATAATGAAACCCTTGCAGATTATCAACTTTCTATTCTTTTTGTTTTATGCATATGGAGGTGTGGACAGGTGCTTGGGTATTCTTGTGTTTTATCAGTTGGAAAACAATGGGATTTTTAGGATAACTAGTTAGTAGACAAAAGAGTGAAGTTTCATTTCCTGTAGTTGGATATTCTGCATTTGTTTGCTTAAATATTTACATTTTTACTTTATTGATGTATTTTACATCTATGTGGAATGAAGGAAAGAGACTAACTTGGTAAATATGATGGGGATGGAAATCAACATGGTGTGATGATTGCTTCATGGACAATGAGAAAAAGGTGTCCTTTCATTCAGTTTATTGTACTCCCAACATAGTGCCAAGGTGGACATAGCAACAGATTACTCTTCCTGCCTGAAGTTAGAATGCCAATCTAACATTGTATGTGTTGACCTGTTTTACCATTGAAAAACATAGCAATCAGCTAGCACCTATTTTTATCCCATCTGCCTGCACTTGTGATGGGGCCCTGTTAAGTTTGTAGAAGTAATACAAAAGGCTCTTTTTTCCCTCAGCATCCTTACTTTTGTAAGTAATGTTTACTGTCCAAAAGCTGTCTTGATTATTTTACTTCTTTTTCTTCTGAAAGCTGTACGCAAATTGTGGGTCTGACTGTGGTGAAAAAATAAGCAAGGCCAAGGTATAAACCAAAAGAAACAAAAAGATCCTGTTCTTCAAATATCAATTTACTGCCAATTTTTAGTTGGCAAACTCTGCCATCAATTTTTGGAAACCAATTGTGCCAGAAATGGCTTGTTGGTCCATGGGAAGAAAAAAAAAGAATCCACCACATTCCAATAAAGAGCATTTATGCTTAATAAAATAATACTATCACATTTTAGAAACAAGCTGTGGACATACACTCAACTTCACAAAGCAAATACAAAATGGCCCATAGATAGCCTATCACTACTTTAATTGTACAAGATTACTAGATTCATATATATAGCTTTTTGTGTTGTGCTCATTTCCTGCTTTCTGACACAGAATTCTCTGGTGGTTTGATACCATACATGGGAGGACTTCATTTTTAGGAGAATATTAGGCCAGTGCCCCCCCCCCACTGGTTCCATGGAGAGAGGTTTTTCCGCAGACCAGAGGGGGCATGGTTTCGTGTGCTGCCAACATCCTGCGGATGGAGCTTCACTTGTTTGCACAGCCCGGTTGCTGGCATGCTGCCAGTTGATGGACTGGGGGTTGGATATTTTCGACAGGTTTATCTAAACTGGTGTCTGCCCAATGTGCTGGAGTTATGCTCCCAATCAGCAATGCACCCCAAGCAATACTTATATAATTTCTTCTGCTGTATCTACTTGTTTTTAATATAGTCCATGAAGTCAGTAAAATCTGATTACCCTAATTCCCTTATGCACAACATACAGAAATAGCAATATTACTTAGTCTTATATATCACTTCAAAGTGCTTTACAACCCTCTCTAAGTGGTTTACAGGGTCAACATATCTCCTCCAACAATGTGGGTCCTCATTTTATTGACTTTGGAAAGATGGAAGGCTGGGTCAACCTTGAGCTTGGTAAGATTCGAACATATAGAAACATGTGCACATATTAATCCTACAAATAGGGACTATGATTCAATTATTGTGTTGTCACATAAAGTCTGAAAACATAGATCAAAAATACTAACCTGAACAAGAAATATACAATATCTGTAATGTTACTAAAATTAAAGAGCATTAGAAACCATTTACACTAAGTTTTTTTTTCAAGTAATATCTTATAAGCTAGCTTAGATCTCTTCAAGAAAGCAGCAGAATGCACATACTCTTTTAAAAATAAAATGTGTGTGTAAAATGAAAAAGGTAGGGAAAACCTACCTTGCAGATCATAGATTGCTTGCACAGAAGCCTTGGAAAAAGAGACTATTATTTTATTATTTCTGTTTTACATCAGAATTGTTAAAACAGAAATGTATGGTGTTTCAAATGCTAGTTTGCAGACAAAAAAAATAATCATCATCTCTTTTTTTAATACTGATTGGCAAGGATAACAACAAAACAACCTCAGAGATTGATATAGAAAACTTTTGTTTTACTTTAAAAAAGAAACTCAAAGCCTTTCAAACCAAACCATAACAAATGTGATTAATCTACAGTGTAGATATGTGACAAGCAGAGATCCAAATGGTGTAATCTGATTCCTGATATTTAACACTAGTGTTTAGTCTGCTGCACATTTAATAACAGGAATTTGGCTTATTCAGCTGGAGAGCTCCACTGAAGTTATATATTAGACACATTTCACTTCCATGCAATAATAACAAAATCAGAAGAATAAAAGTAATTGGAGTGCTTAAACAAAGGCTGCCCTTTTGCACCACAGAGGGGTTCAAATCACTCTCACTTTCCTTTCCTTTATTATTTTGACAAAGTTTTTATTTCCACTTATTTGTCACATCATTACTCAAACAGATTAGACAATGTGTATCCCTGGCAGCTGTATTTTTTTATATAGATGCCTCCAAAAACATGAAGGGGAAAGTCTATGTTGATGAGACATATGTGAATGAGAACAATGGAATGTCTTCAAACATGCAATGATTGACTTTCTGTGCAAGCCCAGATATAATCAGACCTGTGTCCAACTTCAAATGAGTTTACTTTTATCTATTGTTTAAAGCATGTATATTCTGCATTAGGTTGCATCAATTCAATTAGAAGTGCATATAATTGGCATATTTGCCTCAGGTTTCTGAGATATTTGATTTCCCTAGATATGGGTGGATTAAACTGTTCCACAGCAATGGAAACAACTTTCACTCATCATTTAAAGTAATTATAGCATTCGCTGTCTGAAATAGCATCAACTGTTCACCACACACAATGATTAAGTTGTATGAAGGCTGCTGTACTTATGTCATCTTATTTCCTTAGAGAACATACCCCAAAGCTAAAAAATTTAGGGTTTCCAAAGTTATGATGCAATTTTCTTTATCTTATGGACAGTGGTAGCATGTTTTTCATGTGGATGTGATAGGCCCATTGCTTTTGGATTCAGTTCCTTTTATTTTTAATGGCATATTATTCTGGAAATTTTAGATAAACACATTTATAAAGTAGATAGCAAAATCTGAAAACTAAGAGCAATGTTTCTCAGTCTGATCAACTTTAAAATGAATGGATTTCAACTTCCAGAATTTCCCAACCAGCAATTTAGTTGAAGAATTCTACAAGTGAGGTCCACATATCTTAAAGTTGAGAATATTAAGAAACAGTGGCTAAAAGAGTTAGATCTTATCAGTACTTGAATGCTGCCAAATCTGTGGGCTAATTTGGGGAGTAAAAAAATATTCTCGTTACAAATTATTTTTGTAGTGTTGCAAAAATATTCTGCAAAAATATACCCATAAAGATACAAGGAAAAGCTCAAATTCAATTAATTAGGTCCTATATTTTTACTCTACCATAAGCTTTGACCAAAACATCGTTCTATTTAATTTTGAACTGAAATAGAAAGAATTCTTGAATATCCTCTCTATATCATGTTTTAATATAATCAATTTGTCATTTTGCACACTGGTTTTTTATTAATACATGGTTTTGTTGTTTTTTTCTGTCTGTCTCTCTCTCTCTCTCTCTCTCTCTTTCTCGGTTGTTTATTTTGTTGTAGCCTTACTTAAGTCCCAATGTTTGATATAGTTAGATATATAAATGCTTACAATAAATGAATAAATAAATAAATGTAAAAACATTTGTTACAGTATTTCTATTTTTAGGCATTGCAAAAATCAGCATAGAGAGAAATTATAGATAGCATGAGAAGTAAATAATTCTTCTAGGACAAGATTTAGGCGTACTATATATGGTGTACTATATTTAGGAGAAGATGAATGTATGTTAGGCTTCCACAGAAACGAGAATGAACTCTGATAGAAGCCACATATTTCCAGTATTTTTGAAATAATATCTATCTAAAGAAGTTGTCAAGCTTCTGAGCAAGAACAGTAGTTCAGAATTCATAGCCAATTAGATTGCAATTCTGTTGTGTTTTCTTGCAATGCTGTTCTTTCTGAACAGAAGTGTCATCCCTAGCTCTCACAGTGACCATTAATAATTGTTATTTGTATGCCTGCTCTTACATTTAAATATGTCAAGTAAAGCTTCCAGCTGATCTTCCAGGTGATAACAGAGCCCTGATCAGCTTTCTAGCATGTATGGATATGGAAATGAATCAGCTTTTTCTTCCACAGCTATTTGCACAATTGAGGTGTGTGTGTGTGAGAGAGGGGGGGGGAGGATGCGGATGATAAGTATAAGCCAGTGGAAGACAATATGGCCTTGTTTACTTCTTTATTAAGCATGCATCTAGTAGTTTCCTTTAGTCCTAGTGGGAAGTGTGAGCCTACCCACTGTGGCCTATCTACTGGTGTGGCAAATAAGGAAAATATATTTTTTTCTTTAATTTTATGAATGATCTTTGATCCCTTAGAGCACTGGTTTCTTTATATTCAATTCTAAAAGTACCTGATCATAACATGTTTGACTGGAATGAGTGAAAGAAGAAGATAATAGCTATTGTACGGGGGGGGGGGAATGGATGGGGAATTTATCTACATTTAAGAATACTGTACCTGAATTTGCTAAAGGGCAACTACAGCTATGATTCTTTTCAGATGCATATGACTTGAAACAACTTTGCCAAAATAAAGGAAGAAAACAGAGATAAATGTCTAAAAGGAGAGTATGTCTGAAGGGGAAAGCCTCTCCCTCTCATATATCATCTCTAAATTTCATTAAGAAATCTCAGAATAAAACATCTAACTTTAAGGAATCTAGATTTCCTGAGGGATTACTTCTATTTGAGGAAACAGCTTTTTCCCCATATCTCTCTATCAGAAGAAAAATGAATTATTGAAATAAAAATTAAAAAAGACTATGCACTCTAAATAACGAAATTGCTATTAAACTAAATCAGGGTGTGGAATCTGTAGCCCTCCAGATGCTTCTGAGCTATAACCTTCATCATTCCTCATTCTTGGCCAAGAAACATATAAAAAAATCAGATTCCCCATCCTTGAACTTGTGGCAAATTAAATCAAATATAGTGTCAAAGAATTGCCTAGACAAATGCTTCTTAAACTTCTTTCCCTCGGGAGCCCTTCCCACATTTAAAAATTATGTAGGACCCCAAAGAGCTTTTGTTTGTATGTAACAATATTTACTATATTAAAAATTAAATTTTACACTCACTGCTTCTATCATAATTGTTGATAGGATTTTAATATTTTATTATTTTTCAACATAAGCTGGCAAAAAAATGTGAACCCCTGAGTCCAGAGCATTGGGGACACCCTTAGAGAACATAGAACCGTACCATTTAGACAATTCCCTGCTTAGAATACTTTTTTAATCATAGAGGGCAAATGTAAGAATGTTTCTTTGGAAAAAATGAGTGGGAACTATGATGTTTGTGTCTACACATGAGCAATATAAGTCTGTATGCATATTTATTCTTCTATCTGCTATTGTCATTGAGATCATATTTCACATTTAATTTACAAAAAGGAAAAAAGTCTCATTGCTGCAAGAGACTGAGACATTTAAAATCCAAGTCTTCCTTTGCACCAATTATGATTCTTATATCTAAGATCTGAATAGGCCCAAACCATTCTGGATCTTATCCAGTACTCCAGGCTAAACTTACTGATCACTCAGCATGGTTTGCTTCCTGCTTAACTATCAAGATTAGAAATGAACTTGGAGACAATTCTGGAAAAATAACCTCCAGTTAATTCCTCTGTGTCAAATGTTTTGCAAACATACTCTTAATCTCATTTCTATTCAACAGTTCCAATTACCTTTAATGTAAAGGTTTTAGATTAAAGCAAAGTGTAAATTTATGAAATATACCAGCCTGAACCTCTGCTTTGTTGTCTGTAAAGCACCAAGAACTGCTTTTTAAAAAACTGCTGATAAGTCCCTGTGCTGAAAAATGAGTTCTTTTAGAAATTCAAAAATTAAAATGCAACATTTAAAATGGTGTATATATTTTAAAATATAGAAAAATATTATTTTTGTATCTATTTAAACTGCTCTGAGTTCTCTTATACCCAGTAAGACAGTAGAGTTGTTAACTATCAAAAATGGGTGGACAATTGTTTTTTATATTGTTTATTTGCAACTAATAAGTACCTTTCCTTAATTCAACCTTATTGTCTATTGTGATACTTAAAATAAATGGAAACTACCTCATTAAGCTCTAATGGATCATTAAGACATTAAGATATTATTCTTCTCACAATTATTTTTCTCCCTTCTGATGTGTGTTCACCTATGGCATTTTGGCAATTTACCTACTGTGCTTCCTTCAGTGATTGTCTAAAAGTGATGAACAGTCTGACTCAACTCCCGGGAGCCAATCTTGTAATATGCAGTTTGGCTTCCTTCTGCTTTAAATAAATTGTTCCGAGTGCAAAATCCAAGTTGCATGTAAAACTTACTGCTCCAGAAATAGAACATTCTGAAGAAATCCAGAATAGTCTATATCTCTTCTGAACCTCACTACTTTGAGGATGATCAGTCTTCTAAATCAGAAATGGTCTGTGGCATTCCAAACATAATTCAGCCCAAAGAAGTCCTTGTAACAAATCCAAACAACTACCCAGGTAATACCTACAATAGTAAGCATTGATTCAGTAATTCCATTGTAACATATAGTATAATAAGAAAATAGCAATGATATGAGAGTCTTTGAAAATTGTTATTCTTACTCAACCCTATTATTACTCGGTGAAATTATTCTGGAAATGTCAGAGATCTTTAAAGCCAAAGGCTTCAGTAGTTACATTCTTCTAAGAGAGTGTTTCAAGTATTTTCAGTAATTGACATTTTTCCCTCTGCTACTTGGATTTATGTTATTTTTAAAAAATATATCAATGCACAATATTTTCAGGATTGTTACTGTGAGACTAGATTTCATCCCAGTCAACCTCCCTATAGGCAGTTATAATTCTGGAAAACTCCAGAAGTATTTTGTACAATTTTAAACTGTACATCTAGTTTAATTTATTGACTTTTTTGGCTTTCTCATCCCTCACCTTTTTGTAAGCTCTCACCTGATAAAGGATGCTGAAACACATAAATGCTGGCAAAATCTTTTGTATTAATTTGATTGTTTCCTATAAAGATATTTCCCAAATTGTAACATTTTTCTCATTAAGGAACTGGTAGCACTTATGTTATAGATAGGTATTTTTTTTTAAAATGGGCAAGGTTATTCATTTTGATTTTGATTTTAGAAAAACAACTGAAAATATAGTTTAAAAATATGAACATTATTAATGGAATTAAAGCCCAAATAGGAATTTCATGCATGTTGCGCCTAGAGACTATAGTGAATGGGGGGAAAGTGGTAATAGAAAGATGGTTTTTTTGTGTTTGTGTGTGTAATTTTGTGTGTGTGTGTGTGTGTGTGTGTGTGTGTGTGTGTTAGTCAGTCTTTACTCCTGGACAAGTCCCTACAGATTTCTTGGCAAGGATTTTTGGAAGTGGTCTGTTTTTATCTACTTCTGAGGGCTGAGAGAGAGTGACTAACCCCCTAGTTGGCTTTGTAACAAAGGTAAGCTTAGAACTCATGGTCTACCAGTTTCTAATCTAATAGCTTAATAACTACACTAACTAATGCTTGTTCTGTAATGTAATATACTGTTAATCTTTAGCTAAAAGGCTGCATTTTGCAATAAAGGAATTAGTAAGTATTCTGAATGGACCATGTCAGCTGGACAGTACCATGTACCTCCTCATGCCTACTGCAGGGCTAGAAATGGTTTACAGTGGAATAGTAACATGTGGCAAAAAAAGAGAAAGTAATACATAAAATCTGTATGATAGTAATTGCAAATGTTTGGGGACTTTTTCTTCGTAAAGGATTTACAAAGCTAAATTGGGAGCTAAACAGAATGGAAAAGTATATTACTTCATGTGGTATTGATATTTGTTTTCCCACTGCTATCACCACCCCTTTCACTCTCCACAACAGATGGCAAAGCTAGGCAGATTTTATTCAGACCTAAGTGATATATTACATGCAAACATGGGGAAATAGATTATACAGAGAATCATCTTATAGATTAGTCCCAAAGCCTCCCTAGTGTAGTCTTGTTTTCCACAGAGACCAGCCAGATCCTATGAGAAGCCTATCAACAGAACATGAAGCACGAGCAATTTCTGGCTGTCTTTGATCCTCTAGTTAAGGTGTAGGCTTCATAACTAGTAACTATTAAAAGGGGATTTGTTTAAAATTCCCTTGGAAGCCATCTAAGTTGGTGGCTATCACCCCATACTATTCTAGCAATTTCACAGATCTAGCATATACTGTGGATAACACTGTTTTCAGTGTTGTTCTCTCTCTCTCTCTCTCTCTCTCTCTCTCTCTCTCTCCACAATCCAATTATGCACTCCATGCATTATTTTATAAATAAGTTCATAGCAACCTACTTCCATTGTCCAGTTGCATATAGCTGGTTTCCAACTTTTATTTACTTGACACATCAAGTTGCAAGGATTGAAACTTACAATGGAAATAGTGAAATAGTGCAAGACACAATGGGGAGAGAGTTGAGCAGTGTTTCTCAACCTTGGCATATTGACTGGGAAATTTAAGGTGGGAAATCCACAGATCATAAAGTCTTCATGGTTCAAAAATGCTTGTATGAAGATTTCCTGCTTTTTTCTTTTTCTTTTTTTTTGCACAATTAAAAGTCATTATTTTTAGTATAAAAATAGCCTTGTTAGTATAAAAATAGCATTTCTGCTTTCATGATATTGTGATCTGCTTTAACCTACAGCTTCAACATCACTGTTGTCCAGTCTCAAACTCCAAAGACATCTGATTCCACAATACAAGGACAAACAAATGTCTTTTCACAGGGTGCCCTGTGAAGGAAGCACATAAAGTTTTGGGGAATAGTTTCTGTATTGGTCATTTGTTGCAGTGACAAACAAACACCAGCAACAAATTACAAACAACCAATTAACATATTTCTAATTTATACAAAGGAGTGTTGGACTTTTAAGCCATTTGGGGACTTATTTTGTATGTCTACTTTGCTGATTTCAGCTTCCTGTACATGGATCAGAAAACCTGAACTAACCCATGGCATAAAGTAAAGCAAGAGAACAATTTTATTTGCCTCATTAGCACACAATCCGGTAGCAAGTCAGAACAGTCGCATTCATCCTTATCACAGCAAAATTGGCAACTGAATGTCTTTCTCATACCTATCTTCTCACCTGATAACATGTTGTCTGTTTTTAGCGAAGGAAACTTCAAAGTCATTTCATGCTTGTGACTGTGGATCATCAGATGGTCCTCTGTTGGAAAGCGCTATTGGGAAAAGAAAAATTTCAGCTCCTGAAATATTGACTGGATTTTTTTTTTTTTTTTACTATTCCAAGCATTAAAATGCCAGATAAAGAATATGAGGAAGAGTGGAATCAAATTATAGATGTAACGGTGACTGAAAGCTTCCTGTTATTTAAATCTTACTGTTTAAAAGAATGTTGGATGAGTTACTGTTGTAAACCACCCAGCATTACTTAAGTGGAGTAGAAATTTAATAAATAAATAATACATTTTACATAATTATAAAAGCTCACTAAAGAAAAGTTTTCATTTTGTTGGTCTATGTAGTATTTGCTTTTCTGTCTCTCTTTGTTACCGATTAATACATTTTGGGACATACAGTCTTATGAACATATTTGAAAATTATCTAGGATGTTATTACTCCTCGAGAAAATGTCTGCGAATGGCTGAGGCAATGATAAATGGATCTGTATGAAACGTTCAAAAGTGGTGCTGATCAGATGAAGCTGAGAAAGCATTAAAGTATTTGTGTGCTCAGAAAGGGGAGCACCAACAGCTTTGAAGATTGTGTCTTGTATCTGCACAAGGATTCAGATGCCATATATCAGCTGGGACTATGCCCTTTGCAAGATACCCTTTTCAAGTCCTTTGCACACTCTATTATTTAATATTATTTCATGTATATGAGAGTATACATATATAAACATATTCTGGGATTCTTAAGTGTGGCAGGGAACAAAACAATACTACATAGGAAATTAGAGAAGGTCTCCCTCAGAATTATCTGGTTTTATTTCTTCCGGGACATCAGGCAGAAAAGGATTAATATCCATCCTAAAAAGCATCATCAAGTGTTGTGTTTTTCAGATGTTTCATTCAGGATAACTGTTACTTAACACTTATGATTTATTCAAAGTTTAAAATCCAGATTGTGTTAATGTAATAAAATTTTAATGAAGAAATGTTTCTTAAGGTGTATATAAGTTGCTACGAGGCACATTCATTGACAGAACTGAACAGAATAGCCATATTTATTATGCAGTTGTGTTTTATGGCATTAATTTGTTAGGGAAAGAGCACTTTAAAATGATATAATAAAATTTGAAATTATGATAGGGACATGTTAGCATGGTGAAACTCTACTACAGCTATATTCTTGCAGGTTTAATTCACCTGTGAACAGCCTGGGGCACTGCAGACAAAAGGCCTCTCTTGTTCCAAATTCATTTTTGATTCTTCATAAATCTACACATTAAAAGAAAAAGGGGGAATAAAAAAACATAAATATAGCCGTCCATAGCTTTAGCAGATATGGAAAATACAGGCTAGCCTTCCCAATCTGGTTCCTGCAGATGTGATAGATAATATATTTCAACCACCTGATTACTGTGGTTGGAAGTTAAAATAAATATTACAATAGCTTAGGTACATTCAGGAAATGCAAGTTGTATATGTTTGCATCTAAGTCTGCATTTTAACATTGACTTTACCAACTCATTTTTTAAAAAAAAAAACACCTTACTTAATAACTGAAATATAGTTGACTCCAATACCTACATTTTTACCTACCTACAAATTTACCAGTTAGAAAGGAATTACAAAAAAAATATATTTGGAGAAAGTGTGACAAAAACACATTCTATAAGGGAAAGTTGTAAAAATATGTTTGTTAGGAGACATAAGTTGCAAGCGTATACTTGAAGATAAAAACACTTCAGAGGAAAATGTCTATGACTTAATATAAAAATTTTAAAAATAAATTAACAGGGATATTTATATATACTTCTAATAAGATTGAATAGACTGAATAAATTTAAGAGCAGAAGGGGAAGAAAAATTAAGATTCAAAGTTGAAACTATCAACCATTCCCATAGAAATATTATAAGGTTTCAGAATGAAAAGTGCATATAGTCTGAAAAAAGGGGCAATAATAACTCTGAAAGGAGAATGACTCTAAATTCCACATTCCTGAAAACTGAGAATTAGTTTTACTGAAAAAAAGCTAATAAAAAAACAAAGATGGCCTTTCAATATTTTAAAATCAAAAAAATTAGGGTGACAGACTAATTTGCTTGTGAATACATCTCAATACAGTATTTGAATTTCTGTCTGGAAAACATTATATCTGTCTGCAAATAAATCTTTGGCAATGGAAAATTGCTTGTCATGTTTTAATCTAGAAAGTGCTTTGTCCTTATTTGTTCATCTACACAGTGAATAGAGACTATCTTTTAATGTTTACTAGTTTTTCATTTCTAACAATTTTCTATTTGGTAAACTTCAGTTTTCTATTCTGAAACAATTTTACAGTAATACTGTTTTATTATAATCTAAATACAAATTAAATATAAGAAAAATATTCTCTTCCCTGGGAAATTTAGTGCTGTTTGGGGATTTACAATTCTGATTGATGCAGCAAATTATTTTTTTCAGAAACAAGTTGGGATCTTCCCAAATTTTACTGCTGTATGACCTAGTATGTTCTTTGTTAGAAGTTACTGCAAATATTTCAACTTCTGATTATAAAAATATCAAAATGGTCATTACTTTAACCAATAAAAAAATACAGTGGTTCAATGGCATCCAGGACTATGATACTCCAGCATCTAAGATTATCACCAAGCATAGATTTGAAAAGAGGAGAGTTATAATGGCACATATTGATGCTTCCAAAATTACAAAAAGCTCTTGATGGTATCTTTGCATAGATTGAAAATGTCTTCATTACCTGATCCAGTTGCAGATATGTCCAAACAAAATACAGAACAAATGTATGTGAAATAGATCAATTCAGTTGACTATTTACTATCCTAAGTAATTATTAGCAAAGGTAAGTTTACCATTATTTTTTGAAGCAGATTCACCCATTCTTCAATTGAATTGACTTACATGGAATCTATGAGAGAAAGATGGTGCTGCACAGAAATGATTTCTGTCCTCAAAAATATGTCAAAGGTGTATTCAGGTCACAATTCGTAAAGTTACAGCATTACTATTTTTATTTGATTTCCAGCTGATAAGAGAAATTTACCACAGTTTTCTAATGCCTTTAGATAACTAGAGATGTTTCATTTTGAAATAAGTTAACCTGCCAAGTGAATGCCACAGCTATATGTTTTTATTAAATGGAACAGTTTATTTTCCAGGTGTGCAAAATGGCTGCTTCTCATTTTGTTCTACTTTTACCATGTTTTGTATTAACAAAACTTTGAGAAACTTACATTTTACATTTATCAAGAGAGGGAACCATGTTTTACATTCTTCAGTTGCAGACCAAGAAGAGGGTGTCTCTCACTGGTTCAATAATATTTTGTTCTACTAACACTATTTAAGAAAGAGGGAAATTATTGATGAAAAAAAGTCATTTCATCCATCTCATACAGAAAAAACTTTTTTATTAAAGGATAAATAACAGAGAGGGCAACAAATTATATTCTTACTGAAAGTGACTATGTTGAGTATTTTTAACAAAGGTCTTGTAGTCCAACCCCCTGCTCAAGCAGATGACCCCATATGATTCTGGACAAATGGCTGCCCAATATCTTCTTAAAAGTCTCCAGTGATGGAGCACCCACAGCTTTTGGAGGCAAGCCATTTCACTGATTAATTGTTCTCAGCATCAGAAAACTTTTCCTTAGTTTTAGGTTGGTTTCCTCCTTGATTAGCTTCCATTCATTGCTTCTTATCATGCCTTCAGGTGATTCGAGGAGCATCTGAGATTGTTAACAAGCACTGAGATGGGAAGACTATCCTGTCCCCTAGTTCTTATCTTGTTAGACTAGATATACCTAGTTTCTGCAATCGTTCGTCATGCTTTAGCCTCCAGTCCACTAATCATCATTGTTGTTGTTCTCTGCATTCTTTTAGGGTATCAATGTGTTAACAATTGTGTTAACCAAAACTGGATGAGTATTCCAAGTGTGGTATTATCAAAGTAGTACAAAGCAGTGCTTCACATGACCTTGATACTATCTTTCTTTGATGCAGCCTAGGATTACGTTGGCTTTTTTGGCAGCTGCAGAATACTGCTGATTCATACTTAAATGTTTGTCCATTGGGACTCCTAGATCCCTGTCCGAATTACTGCTGTTGAGCCAGATACCATATATTTTCTATCTGTGCCTAAGTGTAAAACCTTACTTTTCTCACTACTAAATTGCATCTTGTTGATAGGACCTAGTGTTCAAGTCTGTTAAGATTTTTTTAGATCTTGAGCCTATCAAGATCTTGAGTGTTGGGTATTCCCCTCAATTAATGCCATCTGCAATTTTGATGACATTTATGGAAATGTTGAAGAGTACTGGACTTAAGACAAAACCTTGGAGCTTCCCTCCATGTAGATATAGTTCCATTAAGAACTACACATTGAGTGCAGTTGGTCAGCTGGTAGTGATGCTGTCTTTCCCACATTTTTTTATGTTACCAAGAAGTACATTGTAGTCTAACATCATAAAGTCTCATAAAACTAATAATATATTTTTAAAAGAATAATGGTTGGAGGAACAGCAACCACACTGAATTGTTTTCTATCCATAGATATACACTTTACGGTAGTAAAATAGCACTTTTAAAAAAGAAGAAGGCTGTATTTTATTTTAATTGGAATATAATAAAGATAATATAAAAAACAGACATAGTAACCTTATTTAATTAAATGATGATGGAACCTATAATCCAAGACTAAATAAGCATACACCACTATTGCATACAGTTCATTAAATCAAGTAGAATAAAATCATATTCTGCATCATTGTAATACAGAAGTCTTGGGCGGTGTGTCCATGTGAGTGGGGATTTTATAGTTCAATTAGAGCAGTTTTCCAGTTAATTTCCCACACTATGAAGATATTCAAATGCTTTCCTGTTTTCAGAATCTTGCCACTGCTTATCAGGCTACAACCAAGCAAAGAATACTGTATGCTCTAAGACACGGTTTCTCAATCATAGCAACTTTAACATGTGTAGATTTCAATGTTTCTCCAGCAAACATTATAGACATTTTCTTTGAGATTTCTTAGATCAAGAAATGGTCTCCATAACCATTGCTTATCTACTCCTTAGCAGTAGTCAAAAGACAATGGTTGCATGCATTATTTTTGGTATTTATTTTCCCATATGTATACATTGTTATGCCTATTCTGAAAGGATTTTATTACCTCTGAGATTTATATTTTGTAGGTGCTCTTTTAGAGTTTTCTGTGATGTAGAATATGGATCCCTGAAGAATTGTCTTCTAATGGACCTATTTAGACAGACCTATCAAAGAATTTCCAAATTTGAGCTTATTGGTAGGCAAAAAAAAAAAAAAAAAAAACCCCAAAACTTCTAAATGTTGCTTAAATCTCTTTTGGGAACTACAGCTGGTCTTTATTTTCTCTTTTCAAAAAGGCTATCATTATAATAATGTTAAATAACCTTTTAGAATTATTAAAGGATACTTACTGTCTCTTGAAAGCTTTACTTTCTTATTACTATATGATTTTTAAAATATATTTTTATCATTTCTATACCTTTTTTGCTTAGAAAGAAACCCTTTTTATAAAGATGACATTATAACAATTTAAATAAATAATAAATACAATCATGCTTGCTACAACTAAATTGAGCTGGACCTATTATTTTTAGAAGTGCAATGTTAAACATGCATAATGTCTTTCCATTTTAAAGTTTTTGCTAGTGTTATGAGAAATTTTATCAGATTACAGTGGGTATCTATGATCTACCATTTAATCACACATCTTAAACTGGTATGGTGGTTTGTTTACCTCTTAATATGAATGCAGTATAGATGAGTTAGTTACTCCAGGGTAAGACGCTTAGCAAAGGGTCAAATGTTCTTTCGTCTTGGCTCAAGGTGACTGATCTACAAGAAAATTATATTGAAAATAATGACATTTCACATTATCCAACACATTTGCTTCAGAATAAATAAATAAAAATAAATAAAGTGAACCCAAATAATAAAAATCATAAGGACAACACTAAGCCAACTTCTATCAGAATTAATGTAGATGTGATTTTGTTTGGTGATGCAGGAAGAAGTGACTGCATTATTGTAGTCTGAACTATCACTCCAAACATATCCTTCATAATAATATGATAAACTTAATAATAATATGATAAACATATGCCCAAACATAGATCTGTTTTGAAGTCAAGTTTAATATAATGTAAAATAGAGAAGAGGAAGGTTTTCTCTAATTGACCATAGGAATTATATATACACTTCCGTGTAGTTTTTTTCAGTCAATATACATAAGTATTTTTTTCCCACCTTCCTTGTTCAACATATTTCAAACTCTCTGGACAAAGTCTTTAGCCCCAAGATTTCTCGATAAAGTATATTCCAGGTTCAAGCAAGTTTACTTAGGTTTTTTTTCCCCCAAAAAATGAACTTATCTCAGCTAAGTTCTATGAATTGCTGGCCTAAGTTGAATTTACTAAACGCCAATTCACACATTCTCTGGAAAGGGGGAAAAAAAGCATTTGACTTCACAAATTAGCTATGCATATTTTTCATACATTTTTATGTGTCTCTGATACATATTTGTTCCAATGGAAGTTAATGCACAGCACATGAGTAGATGTATATATACTGGAAAACACTTAAATACACCAGTAAAAATTAATCCTACTCCTACTGCAAAACATATCATCAAATTCTGTTGAAGTATTAATTGAGCTATTCATCCACTGCCTTGATTCCCCCAACATGGGGTTCTGTTAGCTATTCATCTGCTACATTTGCTAGAGATTATGAAAAAGAAAATGTAGAGTTTGACAGAGCCGATTACAGCATAATATGTAGGGGATGGGTCAGATGGCTGGTAGAATCTATTCCAGCTTGGCTAACCAAGATAAATGGATGAATCCTCTTTAATAATTGGATGGGAAAGTGTTAGGAGATTCAATGGCTATTGATTAGGCAGTCACAATGACAACATGAAGGTGTCCATCGACACCTCAATTGGAGTAGGAAACTTTATTTTGCTGTAAGTGGAAAGAGAGGGAGGGAGTTGGGAGTGGATCATTCTTCAGCAATATCTATGCTTAATAAACATCTGGACAATATTAAACTTGATTTTGCTTAATTAGAACAGAATAGGCATACCTTTTAAAGCAATCCCAGTAGACCACAAAGAAATACTAAAAAAACAAATGAAGCAACTACCACAATAATTTTGAGGCCATTTTTTCTCTTTGCTTTACATACTATCCTTCTTGATAGCATAAACCACAAATCTGCCATCACACTATCACTGGTAAGGAATAATTAGAAATAATTATTAGACTTAAGAAAGCTCATTTTATTTTCCATCATGGAAAATAAAACAAACAGCAAAATAAAATATCCGCAAAAATATGTAGGGCTTTTTCAACTAAGAATATCACACAGGCTTACTTCCTGTTCCAATGTTATTCTTGAAGTGGGCTGCAGTCAGAATCTGATTTTCATCGAGCTATTATTATTTGCAGCTGTGTGACCTTCTTAACCCTGTTTCGAAAGTGACATTTCAGCCCTTGGTTTCAAACTGGCTGAATTTTCAACCTTGTGATTAACCCTAAAATAAAGGAAAGGCTAATTGTTGTGCAAACCTCCAGTCTAGGTCAGAAGCTTGGTCTTACATTTTTGCTATGTCTATTTATCTGCCTATTCATTCATTCCTGTAGAAACATACAAAGTTTGGTGGAATGTGATATCCAGATGGATTTGCAGGAAAAATATCTGACTATGAGTGGAGAAAAATCCCGGTGTCTATTCTGCACTGATTTTTCCTAGGAAGTCCACCTGGCAGACACAGTTCATATTTGATTTAGGGCTGTTTCAGATGGTACAGAGCATTTCTATATAACAGGAATGGTCAACACAGTGACTTCTGGTAATTTTAGATGCTGTCTCTTCCAAGTTTTAATCAGCAAGACTAATGGACTATTGGGTGAATTCTAATCCAAAATATATGGAGCAGCCAGATTATTTATTCATTATCTACTGCAATGTCAATGGTTATCCCAAAGTTGCCTTTTCAAAAGGCAACTGGACTTTCTCTGTTTTTCCTCAAAGACTTCTCACATCTCATCCAAGAAGCTTCTTCAGTTCTGACTGAATATAAATATTTCTATTCCTACAATTTAGTCAGAACTGAAGAAGCATCTTGAATGAAAAATGAAATGTCTTCCAGGAAAACAAAGGAAGTCCAGTTGCCTTTTGAAAAAGCACCTTTGGGAAATATAATGCAGTGTTTCTCAACCTTTACAACTTGATGATGTGTGGACTTCAACTCCAGTATGTTGCATGAAACCAGCCACTCAGGTTATAAGTCATGGAAGAGGTGGGGAATCTCAGACTACGTTTCTTGGAGCCATCAGAACCATTCCCAGATTAAGCCATTGAAATTTTCAACTGTTAGCAGTTTAATCTTTTCCTTATATTTATAAAATAGTGAGAATACTGAGCTTCATGCATTTTCTCTTGGCTTTCAACCACTTCAAAATGTTCAAGCAAACCCTTCCAAAATCAGATCTTCCCATTCTTGTATTGGTGGCTGTTTGAGGCCTACAATCATAAATGGAATGGTTTAAATCACCAATCAGTGAACAGAACCCACCTGAAGCACCCCAGACAAATGGCTGTCTAGTCTCTGCATGAACACATGCAGTGAATGGAAGTCCATTGTTTTTCTGGTTGTACTTTGAACAGCTTACTCTCAGGGATTTTTCCCCCCTAATGTTCAGTTGGAACCTGTCTTCCTGTAACATAAATATATGTAATAAAGTGGTAATTCTCTGGTTCACAATGGTTATTTGTTTTTCATTTAAGTTTAGAATGTTTCAGGAACGATTCAGTTGCAATTGCATTCATTAACCATTGCTAAACAAATCACATCTTAGTACAGTTTGTGAAAGGGAGGTGAAGATTTCCATCCAGATGTTCATCATGCATAATTGCAGGTATTTATCCTCATTCTTGAGACAAGGAGTAGAACAACCGTAATCCAATTTTCAGTTTTGAAAATTCAGTCAGCATTCTCAGACAGTCTCTTTCCTATAGAGAGGCCAAGAAACAGGCATCTGTTCTCCATGCAGTAGTAGAGAAAAAATAAGAAGAGGTACACATTTGAGATACAATTTGGGGTGGCTTTCAGTCTAGTTTTCCCCATCTCAGCCAGGAATAATTTGTGAAGGACTAATTCCAATTCATATCTAACAAATCTGAATCATTTATCTGAACCGTAAATCACCAGATTATACATGCATGCATATACAAACACACACACAAGCACACACAAAATGATTTTCATCCAAACTTTCTTCATATTTAGCATCTGGGGCAAGATGTGTTTTGTTCAAACAATGGTAAATGCTTTTGAGAAAAGAAACAAAATAGGAAACAGGAATCCTTGCCTTGAAGGTGAAAAGAAAGGGAATATGTTTAAGCACAAAGCTCATGCCAGCTTGGAACCATAAAAAACTATAATTAACTCCTACACTCGCATTTTAATTTATATTGTCAGTCAGATCTGCCCTGCTTGATATTCAAGAATGACTTACATACTTTATTGAAGTAGGGAACATTCTAATAAAATAAAGTTTGTGTGTCACCAAAATTAAGATGCATGTTCATTTACTATATCAAATTCAGCATATATATTATATAGTGTGCCTGGGTAGTATTCTAATATCTTTAATTGTAATATCAATTCTTTTTCTCCTCCAGGATATTAACTGACTATCTGTTTGTGCCATTGCCTACAAAAATCCATGCCACGATAAATTTATTAATCTCTCAAGACCATTAAATGCTCCTTAAGAGCATTTTCTCTCTCCTTCTTTGGGCCATTAATGGCCAAATTAATGGTAAATTTTCTAGAATTCATCAAAGAGTAGCATAGTTCAAAATGGAGAGACAAAGAGTTGGTAGCATAATTTGTTACCAGCTTCTGCCTGTGTGAGAAAACCCTCATTCCAATTTTCAGGATCATTGCAATGAAATGGAGCAAAATATTTTCCTTCTGTCCAGCTAAAGTGTTTGTTTTAAAAACAGCCAGCATCAAAATTTCCACATGTGGACATAAGGATTCATTATTACATGTGGCTGTTATAATTAAGGGACCACCACACATATTAAAATATTTCCAAATGGGTCTGGATGCTTGGAATAATTTCACATTTGGAATTCCCCAAGTAGGTCTTAGCATGATCGAAAGCTGGCATTTAAATTCTCAATGATGCTTTGGTGAAATTGTATATAATTATATGTATGCAGTGCCAATATACAGAAATGCAATCAAATTGAAGTATATTAAAAATGAGTGTCATCTAAAAGCTTTTCTTATAAATGCATTTTTCCAAGAAAGACCTAATAGCTAAAATAACAATCATCATCACCTCAATCAATACAGAGTACAAGTGCAAAGAGGTGTAAAGTCAAATTAACTGCAATTTTTAAACAGCCGTCTTGCATTGTTTTTACTGTGGGATCTAGATGTTAATTTGCAGTTTGAGACAGTGTTGTATAAAAAGAAAATTGCAGAGAATTAATTATAAGAAAATAAAATAGGAAAATGTGAACAACATTGCTATATCAGAATATAATTCTGTTTAATTCTATATTCTTTTTCCATCATAAGGAAAGTAATAGTGTAATAGTGCTTCATTTTGTGCTCCCCAGCATATGCTTTTGGTGCTACATAACATGGCCTATGGCCATCATGATTAATAGCCACTAACAAACCTTATCTTCCAAGAATGTATTTTATCTCATTCTTAAAGCCAATCAGGCTTGTGATCTTCTATACATCTTGTGGCAGCAGGTCTATAAATTAAATAGGTACTGGGTGAAAAAAACCCTCATAATTAAATTTA